GAGAGAGAGAGAGAGCTTTTGGAGTAGTCCAATTCGAATAGTGAGTATCATTCTATAGAATCGTAGTAATTATTACAATAATTTAATACAAATGCAAAACAGTTGTCGCAAATGATAATTTCCTACTCCAAAAATCCAAAAATAGGATGTGACTAAAATGAGGCTAATCACCTAGGGGAATTACTTTAGATTAGGAGCCATGTTAATATAGATCTTATTTACTTTAGAAAAAAGTAAAAAACTTTGTTTTTAGTATTATATAACCAGGTGAATGGGAGGTCCACCAGATGACATGGTGTGTCAGGTCAACCTGGTTGTGTTCGAGGTTGACTCATGAATTTTTTAAACTGTAGAAGAAATCAATCGTAAGGTGACATGCAAAATATTTCTTGCATTTTGTCTTTTTTATTGAACTTCCATTGATTATATCAATGTTCCAAAAAAGGGCCTGCCTAGTGCCTAGGTGTGTGCCCTGCCCCATGTAGGCTTAGGATGTCCTCCCTGGGCCTCAGGCACCTGAGCTGAGGCTGAGGCACCCACTGCTGTAGCCCCTTGCTCAAGGGAGCTTGGAATTCATTCAAAACATTGAGGATCAAAGATCTCACAACAAGTAGTAGTAAATATCTCCATATAATGATATAATCATTAATCATAATAACTATCATAATAACGTATGAAAATCCATTGAAGAGCCACCTATTACGAAGGGACAGAGCCCTGCTACCTCTTCCTCTTTCCTTTCAAGCCTTAGGAAAAGGCACCACAAATTGGCAACAGTTTGTTACAATTTTCTATAAAGGCTGATTGGCTAGAATTTCTGGTTTTCTGTCTCTCCCTAGGGATAAGTTATCGGAGGGTAGTGGCTTCTCCCTTGTTCTTTGTCTCTTAGTCCTTTGCTGTTAGTCCTCTAAGACATCCATAATAACTAAGTAAAATATTTGAAACTTCAGCCATGTCTCGTTATTTCTCTCTGTTTGGGAAATTGCATTTTGTTTTCATGTGAAAGTTTCCTTTCATTCACAGCATTGGTTATTGTAGGAACATCTCAAATTCCAGTGACCTAAGTCTGCCACTGCCTCTATGTTGCACTGCCTTTACCTCTTCTCTGCCACTATGGCATCTTAAAAAGATTATAATTGAGTCTTCAATGGATTATTCTCGACTGGCTTAATTCACCATTACAAACAGAGATCAGAATATTTCCATGTTATAAAATCTAGGATTACTATTTATCCTCTAAATGGAATGAATATTGTGGATGTGGAATTTCTTCAAAAAAAGAAAAAAAATGTTGTATGTGGAACAAGGTTTCACAAATGATACCCAAATAAATAGCAATTATCATATATGGTACTGCTTTTGGTCTTCAAATTTTGAGTGGGGCCCCAGAACATCCCTTTGCACCGGTGTATAGAGGAAATAAGTGGTTAAGTCTTTTGTTCCTTTTTTGTTGATGTGATTCTTTTATTCCTAACTGAGCCTTGTTGATTGATCTTTATGGTGTGATTTCAGAGTTGAGATATTGGTGCTTAAAGTTTTGTTTTGAAGTTTTTATTTTTGGGGGGTAGGAGAGAGAGAGAGAGAGGAATTTGCAGCAATAGAGAGTATTATATGCTTTTATTTACAGTCATACTCATGCAGAGAATTAGTCAATTTGTTGCAGGTATTATTGAAGAACTGATCAGCAAAGGGAAGGAAATCGATGCTGTGTACTTTGCTTTAGAGTCGGGCCTAACTGAAAGGTTTGCTCCAATCCCTCTAATCAAGGCCTATCTCAAGAACTCAAGAAGGAATGCACAGGCCATCTCGAAGAATGGCAACAATTCTGCCTCTACCCCGGTATGTTTGCCATTAGTTTTTTGATCCAGTTTCCTTTTGTGACGAGTGATTGACTTTCTCGGTTTTATTAAATTGAGAAAGGAGCAGTTGCGTGATTACTAAAATTTAAAATGTGAAAAGACACAATTTAAGAACGTCTACATTTATAAACACCAAAAAAAATGTAAAACAAATAAATCAACAAGCTACAAGAAACAAAATCATTATAAAAGAAAATTGAAAACCTAGAAAGGGAGAGAACTAAAATTAAAGTAATGGCATGGTGTCAAGAAACCATTCAATGGCCTGGCAATCTAACATTAATAAATAGTGGTAGGCAATGCTTGCCCACCAAATTAAAGTTAACATGATTTAAGAAAAGGGTGTTGTGGTTTAGATAAGGTGACAACCTTAGCATAAATTTGACATGCCTTTTAAGACAGTCTAAAAAAGTAATGCGTCTTTTAAAACTATTAAATCTACATTGTCCAAATGGACAATGTTTATTTTTGTAACTTTACTTCTACGAGGTTGAAACATTATATAAACTTTTTCCTTAAAGAAAAACCCATGTTTATCATTTTATTTGTTAATTATATTCCACTTAACATGGCAGGAAGAGTCAAATGCACTAGAACTAAATGCTCTTCGATCCGTCATCAAATGCATCGAGGATAACAAACTCGAACATGAATTCCCCATAGAGAACCTCAAAAAGCGGGTAATTGAACTCGAAAAGGCCAAAGCTAGCCGAAGAAAGACAGCCAATAGGCCCAATCCTAAGCGATCCCGGGCCTCAACAGGTGGGTCCAGCGCCCTCCCTTCGGGCCGACCAGCCAAGGCCGGTAGGCACACTAACTCCTCTAGGTTTGTTGGGGGCCGCAATCAAAGCCCAGTTGCCTCCTTAGCTCACTATCAGGCCCCAATGGGTGTGCCCATGGGGCAGCCGGTGCACCATCAGAGCCCAATGGGCTCGACTATGATCCATGCGGTTGGGGCCCACCACCAGGGTGCAACGGCCTCAGCTATGGTACATGGGGTTGGAGCACAGCACCAGGGCCCAACGGCCCTCACAGCGGGCTATGGTTATGATGTTTCACTGGGACAGGGAGCCCATGGGCCTCGGAGCCCAGCAAGCTTGGTGCAAAAGTATGGTGGGTATGCCAGCACCACAGAGGATGCCGCTTCGGCTCCTGGTGTTAGGGGTGGTGTATCATATGGAACCGGTGTACCATATGGTGCCGAGTATGGTAGTGGTGCCGGGAATCCGATGGGTGGGTACTCATCGGTTTCATATATGTGAATTAGGTTGAAAGGGGTTTTTCTTTTCTCTTTTTTTTTTTGTTTTTTTTTGGGTTTCCCTGGGGTGGGCAGGGTGGAGGTTTGGTAATGTAGGATCTGATGGAGATGAAGTAGTTGGATAGTATGTGGGGTTTGTGCATGATGGATGTTTTCTGATGTTAGTTATTTTTTTCATGTTTGTTTCGAATTATCAAAAGATAAATGTGGTTGATGCTCAGGTCTCTCTATTTTTCATGTTTATGAAGTTGGGTGTACCATGGGCCAGACGTGGCTTGAGCCTGTTCCAAAATTGTATTGGGCATGTCGGGCCGGACCTGGAAGAAAAATCAGGTTGGTCCGGGCTCTATATAAATGCATTATATAAAAGGAAAATGTTTAGAGAGAGCTGTAGCCGTATCAAAGCTTCACTTCAAAAGTCACAGAAAATTAAAGTTTTGGCTTTGGAAAACCTTCAAATTAATTATTTCGACTTTGACTATTATGGTTATGTAAAAACAAAAAAAGATTTTTAGTCCTGTACACATTAGTTAGATTGGCTATTTCAAGTATTCACGAATCCGTGAGATTTGTACCTTTTTTTGAGCTACAATTTTCAGTTGGTGGAAATTGTTTTCAGAGTCATCATAGAAATTTCTGATGCCCAAATTATATCTTGAATGAGGTTTTAAGGTGAAAGTTTACGTTTCATGCCCCTGGATTGCATTTCTACATATGCGGTCCAGAAAGTGTAAAGCATCAATCTTAAAGATGGATGCAATCAGGTTTTTCATCTAAAAACAAGGTTTTCATCTGAAAACAATGTAAACTAACAGTTCAAATGTTTTTTTACTAGAATTATTATTTCTAGTTTTTAAAATTTATTTACTTTTTCATATTCATGATCTCCATGTCAGAGATTACATATCTTTAAAATTAAGTCTTAAAATCCATCTCAAAAATATATTTATTAAGAAGCCTGTATTTCTACATAAGCGAGTTTGGTTGCATAGAAATCGGGTCCAATATATAAATATAAATATATGACATATAATTATAGATATATAGATTTCCCATCCACACATCTCAATCCACACATTTTAATGTTGATACGATCGTTTAGAGGGTTTTTCAACATCAAAACTTCCTTTCTCAAAGGATTTATGAGGTGCACCTTATATGAACTTTTTCCATAGAAAAGATTTAAGACTTTTCCGATAAGATGATTAATCTAACGGAAAACTTATTAGTATATGAGGAGTGCATGCAAGGATTCGAGGGGTAAAAGCTTTAGTGGTCCTGTGAGAACAAATTGCAAAATTTGTCCCTTGGTCAAAATATCATGTTAGGGGATTTGCTTGAACCCAGTAAATTTCAAATTATTTTTGGAGCTCCAAAAGATGCTCTAGTAGGTATTGGAGCTTTAAATACCTAGAATATTTTTGTTTTTTGGATTGATCACAAAGTGAATCAAAGATTAATGTTTTGCCATAGGAACCAAATGTTCATTTTGGTCCCATAAGACCACCATTTACCCCTTGTGATCAAAGATTAATGTTTTGCCATAGGAACCAAATGTCCATTTTGGTCCCATAAGACCACCATTTACCCCTCTCTCCTCACAAATGCTAGGACGATAGAAAAATACAAAAAAGAATATTGCAACGTTCTATCTTCCCCTATGTACCCCTCTCTCCTTTCAAATGCTAGAACGATAGAAAAATATAAAAAATAATATTGCAACGTTCTATCTTCCCCTATGTAAGATTATTTTTATTTTTATTTTTGATATATTAATAGTGGGAGTATAGGGCCGGAAATATGTTAAGGCATCCGTCCCCCTAACCACCTTTACCTCACCCTAATTCCTTATTTTTGTAAGATGTTTTAAATCGTCAAATAAATTAGGTTGCAGTTTGTATAGAGCTGACGCTCTATAGAATCAAAGTAAAGTGTACCTTCAAATAGTGTTGAGAAATATGGTTTCAATACTGAAAAATTTTGTGATAGTCTTAAAATATATGTTCATCTTTAATTATAAAATTTAAAGTTTAAAAAATAGTGTTCATCAAGCAGATCTATGAGAACTTGAAAATCTTGAAAATTGACACTCCAAAAATGCGTTATAAGATACACTATTTTCAAAACTTGAAATATTTTTTTCTCATGTCCATGCATCTTAATGTCGAGATGATCAATTTGAGGATATCTGGGAATCAAAACAACCTCTTCTAGTTTAATTGTTTAGGTCTCGGCTATATATAATTTTTTTAAAATAAATTATTATATTATATTAAAATTTTTTTTATATAAGGGTGATGCCCTAAACAATAAAATTAAGACACACCTAAAAAATTCACTAGAAAAGGTTGTTTGGAATGCTCGAAAATACTCAAATTGATCATTTCGACCTCAAGATGCACAGACATGATAAAAAAAATAATAAATTTCAAGTCTTGGAAATAGTGCATTTTGTAATGCATTTTTTAACCGTTAGTTTTCTAGTGTTTGTAAATCTACATGATCTACACTATTTTTGAAGCATTAAATTTTATAATTAGATATAAAAATCAATTTTTAGGCCATCACAATCATTTCCAGTATTGACACTATTTCGACACTATTTGAAGGTGCACCTTACTTTGATTGTTTAGGCTCGGCTTCATACAAATCACACCTATTATATTATATTATATTTTGTTATATTATATATGTTATATTATGTTATGTTAGATTAGACTATATTATATTATATAAATATATATTACATTATATATATTATACTATAAATGTTTTATATAATCTAATATAGTATATCTAAACAATATATAGTATATTTAGAAATAGTGCATATTGTAATGGATTTTTGGACTGTCAATTTTCAAGATTTTCAGGTTTTCATAGATATGCTCGATCTACATTATTTTTTAAGCTTCAAATTTTTATAATTAAAGATGTTAATATATTTTAAGGCCATTGCAAAAATTTCCAATATTGAAACCATATTTTTCGATACTATTTGAAGGTGTGCTTTATTTTGATTGTTTAAAGCACCGGCTCTATACCAACCCCACCCTATATATTACATTGCGTATAGATTCTATATTTATTATAAGGAAAAAGTTTATATAGAGACGAGGCTCTAAACCATCAAACTAGAGCCCACCTAAAAACTTTCATTAGAATAAGTTGTTTTGATGACCAAATATCCTCAAATTGATCATCTTGACATCAACATGCGTGGACATGAGAAAAAAATGCTTTTCAAGTTTTTGAAATAGTGTATCTTGTGATGCACATTTGGATCGTCAATTTTCAAGATTTTTAAATTTTTATAGATCTGAGGGATCTAAACTATTTTTGAAGCTTTAAATTTTATAATTAAATATGAAAAATATTTTAAGGCTATTACAAAGATTTATAGTATTGAAACCACATTTCTAGACACTATATGAAGGTGTGCTTTACTTTGGTTATTTGGAACCTTGACTCTATACAAACCACACCCTTATCATATAATATATTTTATTTATATAATAGATATTTACGATATAATATATATAATATAAATAATATTTAATATATAATGTTTAAATAAATATAGTTATATACTTTTTAGTTATATTAAATAATGTATGTATATATTTTATATTTAAATTAATATAATATATTTAAATCAAGTTACCAAATAAGTTTTTGTTGCGATAAATAAAAGTCATACTTAAATAATTACCCGAGAAAAATTTATATATGGTTGCAACCTTAAAATGTTGAATTAATGTATGAATATAAGAAAAAAAGTTTTTGAGCCTTAAAAATGTTGCATCTTGCTCTAATGTGACTCGTTGAAACTCTCGCAGCTCTCTCCCCGAGCCGAGCTCAGTCTTCTCTCTCCTAGCTAGGCGCTAATCTCTCTGTGAAACCTAACCTTGTGATTGTAACCATAACAGCTGCTCTCTCTGATTATAAGGTACGGATGATGCCCTTTTGGCATGGATTTTACATTTGTGTTTTTTGTGTTTATGGTTAGGGTTAGGGTTTCTGATTTTTCACATGTGGTTGCTCTTGATTTTTCATATATGGTTGAATTCGAAATTTATAAAATTTGGAAATATTTTGGAAGTGAAAAATAAAACTTATTATGGGTGAATGTTGAACTATTGCATTACGTATATTAGCCATTAATTTGCCTGCTAGCAATACATTTTCCGTTCTTTAATGTTTGACCATTATTTGCTGTTCGCTTTAATCTTACGAATTAAATTGTGCTCTGGATTCCCTTCTTATATAATTATGTACCATATGGTATGATTATTCTAACTCTTCAAATTGTTTTTTTTTTAATTATTTTTTTTATTTTTTTATTTATTTTTATGCTGTGAACTCTTCAAATTGTTTACTTGAAGGGATTGTCTATAAAACAACCTTTTATCTTTTGTACCTGGATCACAATCATTCCCTCGCATTAGATGTCAAATTCGATGGTTTGAGGTGAGTTATGAAGTCCGAGAATTTTTTTTTTTTGGAACTTTATGTCTATTCAACAACACAGTTACAACCACCCATTTTGAAATTTAGGGGACAAAGATGATGACCTCTATGTACAAAAGATAAATGGTTTTAAGTTCCAGAAACCTATTGTTGTTCCCAATTATGAAATTTAAAGTTCTAGAAATGGTGACGATCAAGCAAATCTATAAAATACTTGAAAATCTTGAAAATGGATGGTCTAGATAATGTGTTGGAAGATGAACTATTTTTAGGACTAGAAATCCCCTTTTTTTCATGTCTATGAATCACAAGGTCGAGATGATCAATTTGAGTGTCTTCCAGCATAGGAAAAACCTTATCTAGTGGGTTTTTTAGGTGCAGCTTACCCGTACAGTATAAGGTTAACACCTTATATAAACTTCTTCTTTTAAGTAACTGAAATTTTTTTATATTCAGGATGTGATTTGCTTACGAACTATAAAAAATGCCATTGGATAAGAAAAAGTATACAATGGGACTACTTATCTTTGGCACAAGGCGGTCACAATTAATGTTGACCATTGGATGTGAAATTAGATGGTTGCATTTTTTTTTATTGACCAAGCTCAAACTTCAAAAGTAATTTTCACGAACTTTGTGACACTCAAACTATCAGATTTCACAATGGTTGTAAGTAATTGTGGCTTCCTTGTATCAAATGTAACTGGTCTCATTGTATACAATCCCATTAGAACGTTAGTTTAAATAGAATGGGAGTGTGGTTAGTTTATGAGAAGGGATGATGTTTTGTCTCCATTGTCATTGTAGACTATTGCTCTGTTGCAATTGTTTTTGTACTCAACTTATTGTTTGTTTGTTTACTGGTTTATGAGTTATCTATTATTTGTTGTTCTTCAACAGTTTATTCATTGTGCTTTATTGATTGGGTTAGGAAGCTGATCCGAAATAGTGTTGGTAAGGCTCGGATGATGATGATGATTTTGACTGGGTCGGGTTTCGATTTCTTTTTTATCTAATACAATCCTTGTCGGGAGCCTATGCCAGTAAGTATAAAAATTCACGTAACAAGAGAAGCAAAGTTATTGCATCTAGTTGACAAAGGTTGCATCCATATTATAAATCTTGTTCAATCCATCTTCTTCCACATTTGTCAAACCAAGCCATAGAAGCAGGATGAGTGCATTGTTCTTGTTAGGTGCATATTTGTAGGGGTGTGTTGCAAGGAAAAATAATAAACTAGAAAAATAAAAATGAAAATAAAGGTTTAAGAGATTATATTTTCTCTCTAGATATGCAAGGGAGTCCACCCCAAGATATTTTTGCAAGATCAAACACTTTCTTTGTTTTCCAATCGCTCTCTTTATAAAGAAGGGACATCTTCCCTTTAAATACAGACTAAAAGCAATAATAATAATAATAATAATAAAACTTAACTCTATCTCTCCCTTAACTCGTAAAACCCAGTCTAACATATCCTAACAGACCAACTATGCTAAATCCCTATTCATATCTTTTTTCAGAAAACTTAAACTTCCTACCCCTTAAATCTTTACAACTAAAAAAAACAAGAATCATGTTAAAGAAACTAAAAATTCAAATAACATATTTTTTAAGTGCTAAAAAAATATAAAAATAAAAAATAACAATAATCATTGTTTTATTTGCATCTGGGTGTCAATGTTGTTTTGTCGTCTATTCAATGACACTCTTATAACCACCTAATTTGAAATCTAAAGATACAAAAGTGATTGTGGCCGCGTACAAAAAGTGAATGGTCTATTTATATACTTCTTGTATTTATTATCAGCAGTTGTGTGAGTATGCATGTCTGTCTTGTTTTGACTTATGAAATTATCATTCAATGAACTAATATTACCCATCCAAATACAAATACTTACACGTTACGAATTACACTGCCTAATTTCATGTCTTCAGAATCAAGAACTTCGAGGTGCTGTCAAACACAGGTTTGCAGGCTCCATCAACATTTTAGACAAGTTATAAAAAACAATGCTTTCCAGTATAAGAAGCTAGATCATCCACCTTCTCAGGGGGCGAGAACTGCAAGATTCTAGTTGTCAAACAGCATATGGGCACGAGGAATTGGCAGAAAGTGCTCGCTCTCTGCTCACACACAGTCGTCTAACGAGAAGGAAGGGCACACCCAGTTGGAGTGTTCACCTCTTCTTCTTCTTCTCACTCTCAGAACCAGAACCAGCTCGCTTTGTATGAGGGCCTAAAAGCAGAAAGGCAATAGAGCGAGAGATAAATGTCACTTTGTCTCTCTATCCCTAACAATAAGCATTCCAGCTCAGGCCTTTCTTCTTCTTGGGTGGCCACCAAAGCAGACAAATCTTTTCTCTCTCTCCTCTTGAAAACCCACTTTGACCGCCGCTCCTCTGTCCTCTCCTTCCTGCGCCGAGCCCAAAATCACCCCTCTTTCCTCCTCACCAAATGCCTTCTCCTCCACATCCTTTCCCACTTCCGCCTCTTCTCTCAGGCCCATGCCGTTGCCGTCTCCCTCCTCAACTCCCACGAAACCCGCCCCATCTCCTCCTCCTCCTCTTTCGTCATCCTCCTCTTTGAATCCCTCAGAAAAACCCACTCCCTCTTTCGGCCCTCCTCCTCATCCTCTGCCGCTTTTGATGCACTCATCAGATCCTATGCCGACTGCAACATGCCCCACGAGGCCCTCTCGACCCTCTGTCTCTCTCAGTCAGAGGGTTTCATGCCCGGCGTTCTCGCATACAATTGCGTCATCCATTGCCTCTTCAAATCTCACAAACCCAAGTTGGCTTCCGATGTCTATGCGGAGATGCTCCGCTCCTCTGTCTCCCCCAATATCTACTCGTACAATATCCTCATCTCTGGTCTCTGCTCTACTGGGAATCTTGATGGAGCCTTGGCCCTGTTCAAGGACATGGAGGCTAGAGGCTGTTCCCCTAATCTTGTCACCTATAACACCCTCATCGATGCCTATGCCAAGTCTGGTCGAGCCCATGAAGCCCTGCGCTTGCTGGAATCCATCCCCCTCAGGCCCAATTTGGTGACCTTCAATTCGGTTGTGAATGCATTTTGCCGGGAGCGGAGATTGAAGGAGGCGGAGGCGGTGCTCGATAAGGTGAGGTTGGCTGGCTTGGTCCCTGATAGTATAACTTACAACACGCTAGTGCATGGGTGGTGTTTGGAAGGAAATGTGCACCGTGCCCTTGCCCTGCACTCGGATATGGCAGCGGGAGATGGGTTGGTGCCCAATGTGGTTACATACACCTCTCTCATCTCCGCAGTCTGTAAAAGCGGGAATCTCCGCAAGGCCGTGGAGCTCCTTGATAAGATGAGAGAGAGGGGGCTCAGGCCTAATGGGGTGACCTACACAGCACTTATTGATGGCTTTTGCAAGCAGGGGAATATTGAAGAAGCCTACTCTCTCTTACTTGAAATGACAAATAGTGGGTTCTCACCTTGTGTAATCACCTACAATGCGCTCATCAATGGCCTGTGCAGAGAGGGGAGAATGGCTGAGGCCCTCGACATCCTCTCGATCCATATGCCCGAGAAAGGTATCACCCCTGATATCGTAACATACTGCACAATGATCACTGGTTATTGTAAAATTGGGGATTTGGACACAGCTTTCTGTCTCTTCCATGAGTCAATGGGCAAGGGTATGCCACCTGATGCCGTGACATATTCATCCCTTATTCGAGGGCTCTGCGAGGAAAGGAGGCTGAGTGATGCCCACAATTTGTTTGAGCAAATGGTTAATAATCGCATGGGCGTAGCGGGTGGCCTGCGTCCTGATTGCTTCACATACACGATACTTATTGATGCGTATTGCAAGGAAGGAGAAGTGGGTCGCGCTCTCAACCTTCACGACGAGATGGTTAAGAGGGGCATTCTCCCTGATGTCGTGACCTACAGCGTGCTCATCAACGGGCTTGCGAAGAAAGCTAGGACAAAAGAGGCCAAGCAACTCTTGTTCAGAATGTTTCATGATGGCTCAATACCACCTGAAATCACCTATGATCAATTAATGGGTCGATGGAGTGATGGGGATAGTGGGGTTGCACTCATGAAAGGTTTCTGTATGAAAGGGTTGATGAGTGAGGCTGATAGGGTGTATAGGTCGATGGTAGAGAAGAATTGGAAGCCCACTGAAGCTGCTTATAATGCGATGATACATGGGCATAGTAGGGGAGGGAGTATTTGGAAGGCTCTTGAGCTTTACAGGGAAATGCGGGGTTCATGCTATATCCCCAACATTATTAGTGTGATAGCTTTGATTAAGGGGCTCTCACATGAGGGCCGGAGCAAGGAAGTGAGTGAATTGGTCCATGAGGTTCTGAGAGATTGTTTGGTTCCTGAAGCTGAATCTTCCAAAGTAGTTGTGGAGATAAACCACAAAGAGGGAAATGTTGAAGCAGTGATTGATGCCCTTGCTGAGATGGCCAAGGATGGTTTTCTTCCCACTAGTGGAGAAACTGGGTCGTCCAGAAGATGATGGTACCGACTTCTTCTTGTGCTTTTTATTGGGCTTTGTAAGTGGAAAACTGTCCACTTGTGGTACTAACGTTCCTGACCAGGCACTTGTGCTAAACTTTGAAGTTTGAAGTTCTAGTATGAAGCAAAAAAATTCATGGTATGAGAGGTGGGGAAGTTGTCAGTTGGGCTTTGAATTTGATTACAAGCTAATATACACTTCTCTAGACTAGTATTAAATTGTATCTACTAATTCCCCAAGCCTAAAGGTTGCATTTTCAAGCAGGCTACAATTGGGCTGGGCTTCAAGGTTGTATCATGTTAACATCCAGATGTTTTTTTCCTGTATATGAGTTTTGATTTGATGGGCTGAGAGTTCCTACAGGAGATTAACCAAATTAAAGTTGATCGATTTCCGAGAGAAGACAGACAGATAAGAAGATTGGTATGTTCCGGAAACATGTTCTTGATGCAGTTTAAATATTTCCCGTTATAGGTACACATCAGTAGGTCATTTTACGCATGGGATCCTGGGTTGCTGGCTGGATGTTTGATTCCTTTTTGCTATAGACTTACATTTTAAGTGGTCTAATTTCTCCCTTTGCTGATTCTGAGCTAATGCTATCATAAAACTGACTGCTTCTCAAATTATTGTGTTACTCATAAGTGCTAAGTGGTCTTATTTCCTACTTTGCTGATTATCATTTAAAATGTATTGGTTCTTGTATAGTTTCTGTGGATATAGAATATATGAATTTGTTCCTGGTACTCTGGTAGTTGACCTATAACGTACTTATTGAATTGTTTTTGTTAAAAACTATGGTAGTTTACCATATTCTTACTTCGTGAATTATTTTTGTTAATGAATTATGAGAACAATTGTCTGTTTTTTTATAGAATTAGAAACTCTTTTTGTTGTTCTTATAGAATTGAAACTCCCTTGTGGAATGATCAATCTCTTATTTTTTTCAAGGTAGATCTCAATGATTTTAGATCTGAGAACCTAATACTCGCCTGAAGACCTTGAAGCAAACTCTGAGTTGTGGATTTGGTTATCAAGTTTGCAGACATTCTTCATAAATCTATTACGGAAGTCTTAATAGGCCTTGTCAAGATGGGTTTTCTGTAAATATTAAATGTAGATGGTCCCCTTTTGGTTTATTAAATTTTTAGATTCTTATCATTCATAAAATTTTAAAATAATCCTCATTTTTGTTGTTTAAGGAGGTTACCTGGTATTTGTGTGCAAGAATACACCTCGTCAAGGGACTTGATCATGTGGAATGAGCTCGTCCTAAATCACAAGGGAAAAGATTTTGGGAAATGGAGGAAACATGGAGAGATTGAGGAAAATGTCACACATAGAATTAGAGCTGTGTGGGCAAAGTGGAGATGTGCAACTGGAGTTTTATGTGACCGCCGCATACCAATGAAGTCGAAGGGAAAGTTCTAGAAGACAACTGTGAGATTAGTTTTGCTTTATGGGGCGAAATGTTGGGCGGTCAAGAAACAACATACCCATAGTATGAGTGTAGCTGAGATGAGGATATTGAGATGGATGAGTGGTAAGACAAGAAGGGATAAAATTAGAAATAAAAATATCTAGAAGAACTTAGGAGTGGCTGGCCATGCAGCACATACCCAATACAACACCTATTAGGAGGTGTGAGATGGTTCAAATGGAAGGTCTAAAAAGAGCAAGGGGTAGGTCCAAAATGACATGGTTGGAATTGGTGAGAAAAGATATTGCGAACTTATGGGTATAGTCTGTGGTAGAGCAGAATAGGGGATCAGGATTAATGTAGTCGACCCTAAATAGTTGGAAAAAGGCTATAATGATGATGATGATGGAAGAAAAATGTATGGGAACTTCAGTCACAATGTCATGATCCACTATGGCAATCGAAATAAGTGTGCAATTTGATTTTGCGGTGGTTGTAGGTAAACTTTTCTCCGTGTAGGTTGACGCCTAAAGGGGTTGGACAATTGTTAATGTAAGCTGGACAACTAGCAATTACATGTGGAAGACTGATCCTTAGGCAGCCACAGGGATGTGTCTATTTTCTAACAAGTGGATTTTAATTTGCCAAGTTTTACCTTGATACCTTCATTTTCTTATATCTTTTACTCATTTGTGGAGTGATTGACCATTACAATACTCTCAAAACTGATTTATGTATGCATCTTAAGATATTAGATATGCGTTGATACTTGAAATTCTCCATTGGATGTTCACATCTTATAAGTTTACTGAGGTCTCCAGTGTGAGAAATTTGTGCCCCACTTGGTTTTGTGTCGTAGTTGGATAAACACCCTAGTATTGTGTTCCTAGAGTAGACTGGATTTCAAAATGGTTGTATTGAATCGGAATGATGTGGATTCAGTTATTTGCTCCATTGAACTTTGCAAATGGCATCCCTTAAGATAGCACAGGTGCCCTTCTCGTGCCAGGTATCTCCATTACATTCACCCACTCCTTTCCCATTGTCGTAAACACCTCTAAAGACATAGAAGAAGAGGGAACAGAAACCCATGATAATCTAGTAATCAAAGAATTGTTAAGTGATTAAGCTAAGCAGCTGGGGTCTATGCAGAATCAGATGGTATTACATCTCAACAAAGAGGTGCAGTTTTCTATCATTTTCTTTTTCTCTGGGGAGTCAAATAAGTTCCTGAGGACCTCAAACCCTATATTAATGTAGCTATGTAACTATGGTTCGCAAAATATGTGCAGCTTGCTATCTATGCCACACTTCTGAACACAGCCTAAAATATCATGTAGTTAGCATCTTATGAAGGAACTTGATTCTCAAGCACAAAACCTCCAATTTTGAGGTGCAATCTCTTGGCTAAGACTACGCTTCAAGGTAGTATTCTCACTCCCATAACAAATGGCCTTTAGTTTATTACAATAAAGAATTAGTCCCTTAGACATTTCATCCGCATCTACGCCAACTAAGATGTATATTGTAAGTATCGGGCTTGGGCCCGATTGATTAGTTGTTGAGTACTGCAACAGTACATTCCAAGTTCGATTCCTACCGCTGAATGAGCCAAACACAAAACATGAGGAAAGCGAAAAGTATACCATAATACCATCACTTTTAATACAAGGAGTCAAATCAACCTTAGTTGCTGGACATGAAATCAGGTGGCCAGGCCTGGCTCATTTTCCAAGCTCAAAGTCTAAAAGAAATTTTTTTGAACTTCAAGACACAAATCAAGAGTTAGATTTCACATATGATGGCTATGGGTAATTGTGATCTCCTTGTATCTAAGGTAATGGTTTTATACTATACGATCAGTGTTTTAAAAACTGCTAGGCGACCGGGGGGGTCCAGGCCGCCCAACGCCCAAGCAGACGCCCAGAACCTGGGTGGCCCAGTAGAAAGCAAAAAATTGTGGGGTTTTTCTCTCTCTAAAATAGGCTTTAATGGGTTTTAGGTTTCAAATGAACCTAAAACCCACAATTTTACCTCTTTAGTATTAAAAAAAATGATAAAACAATGCCCTCATGAGGGGCATTTCCGCCCTTAGGCGGGGCGCAGGCCCAAGGTGGCCACCTAGGCGGGTTCCCGAGCACCCAGGGATATTCCCCTAGGCCTGGGCGTCTGGACCGCCTAGGCAGCCGCCCAGACACTAGGCGGTGCGCTTTTTAAATCACTGTATATGATCCACCAAAAGAAAAATATGTATTCTGTAATTTGCAGCTATACATGCAGGCAGCTATTAAGTCAGAATTTCATAAAAGCGCCAAGCACATCAAGTTAGATAGCCACATGTCCAAGAGAAAAACTACTTCAAGGGGGAGGTATACTCGTCACTTTATGCAATGCAATACACTTAAATTGGGGCATCAATGTCTCTCTTACAGGGTGAGCCTATAAGAACCGCATACATGCAAATCTTATATTTCAGAATTTTCATCATAGAGACCTATACTGATTTCCATTATTGGGTACATTACATTAGCATTCATCCATCAAATAGTACACACTGTTCAACAAACTAACATCCCAATTCCCATTGGTTGTGCACCATAGTTGTATGGCACTTCAAGTCACTTGGATAGTAGATCATAGTTCTCTGTTGGCTGTTTGCAGCATGAGAATGAAAAGGATTAAATTATAACTCGAAAGCAAAATCAAACTCTCAAAAGATTACAAATGCCTGTGTTGTTTAATGCATCATGGACTACCTGTCCACACCAGTTTGATGGTATTACAGACTGATTTCTTGTAAACTTGCAAATTAGAATCCAGAGCATGTCTGTCCCATGTAGCCAATGCATTCAATTGATATTTCAGGTAGTTCCCGTTAGTTAATCATTACTTGTCCCTGATAGCTAATGTCCCTGAAGCCCCAATTCATTATAGATGCATCTATAATTTTTCTTGATGAATAGATGATTTATTAAGAGAATTGCTCGGGGTTTGATATGCAGGAATCTGGTGTTTTGATATATCTTCTAGTTAAGGCACTACCGTTACCACTATTATTGTATTTTTAGTATAAGATTTCGTGCCTTCTCCATAATCCCCATGTTTGGGAAGGATTTTCAACTTCAGAGTATGATCCAGACATGGTTCGTTGTAGCTGCTTTGGTTTCTTGAGGAAGCCGTCATAAAACATTGAAGCCTGCACATGGATTTGGTATTCATTTCTCTCAAGAATATTTGTTAACAGATTATACAGAGGATGTGGATGGTCTTTCCTATAAAGTACGGGGCTGACTTTTCCCACTCGAGTGCCAGTGGATTGCGGTGCCGTAATGATAACCCCGAAGAGACGTCCATGACTGCTTTTCAAATGGAAACTCCTATCAAGGGTACCCACCATGTTACTCATACAAGGTAAGTTGCTGGGAATAAATTCAGAAGTCCTCTATTCTGTAAATTATGGTTTTTGTTTAGTAATTTTCATTATTCTATCTGTATGCCTATGGATATAATATTTTTCATTACCTTATCCATATGAGCAAATAAAAAACATTACTCTTTCTGCAGGTTATGGTAATTTTTATGCTTTTATTCCATGAAATTTGCTTATTGCACAGGTGTCAGATGACATTGATTCAGCATTCATGAATAATGTTGTTATGCTTCCTTTTAATTACTATCGTATTTTTACTAGAGCTTATTAAAATATTCTACAGCTGCCCCGAGACATGAGCTGAACTCATAAATTGCCTGACAGAGCTATTTCCCTGGGTTTTCCAAACTTATCTTTTCTTTTTTGATCAATTGGTCATTGTATGCATCAAAATGATTATATATAGGTTGCCTTCTGATTTGAATTCTGAGTTATCCAAACCTTCAGTTATCAAGGAATTTGGCATGGGCTCCAGTCAGTCTCAAACCCTGATCGTAATCCCCATATCTCTTTATGTTTATAGTGTAATCCCCATGATAGTAATGCCCATATCTATTTATGGTGTAATCCCCATGATAGTAATCCCCATATCTATTTATGGTGTAATCCCCATTGTAATCCCCATATCTCTTTATGGTGTCACAATATTCTCCACTGGATTTAAGAGATTTGATGTATAGATCAGTGTTGTACACAGGACTGGACGGGTCGAACCGGTTTGCCCGGTGTACCTTCTCGAGTCCGGTCCAGTCAATGAGTCGACGAAGGCTTCGAACCGGTGAATCGGCCGGTCCAAATAATAGGCTGGCTGGTTTGCCGGTTCAAGATGTGAACCGGCTGCTCCAAATTTGGGCGATATTTTCAACACATTATTTATTTATTTTATTCTTTACTATTTTACTTTAGAGTTTAGAAAATTGAAAAATAACTGAAAATTTATGTTGCCTTGTTGGTTTTAGGAAATCAAAATTTAGGGTCTTATAATTTTTGAGGTAATTTTTATTTGGGTGCAGTTTGTATAGAGCCGAGGCTCTAACAAATCAAACTAAAGCGCACCTTCAAATAGTTTTGAGAAATGTGGTTTCAATACTGGAAATCTATGTGATAGCCTTAAAATATATTTTCATTTCTAATTATAAAATTTAAAGCTTGAAAAATAGTTTAGATCGAGCTATCTATAAAAACTTGAAAATATTGAAAATTGACGGTCTAAAAATGCATTACAATATGTACTATTTCCAAAACTTAAAATCCAAATCTGCAAGGTAGAGGGTCGATCCAACACCCAAATTTGGGTTTTAAAACACTGGTATTCATTATCTATCCTTGATGACAAATACTAGATACCAATTGTACCCGGGGAAAATATATGTTTAGTCTCCATTAGCTATCATTTGGAATGGATGGCCATACTTCTATGGTTTACTATTTACCTGTGAATGTTGTTTGCATATGTGACTTCAATTCTCTCGACTTATAGGGATATTTTGGGGCATATAGATATGTTTTTTGGGTTAAGCTAGGATTACATAATGAAATCATTGATAATATTCACCGGTTATATATATGAAAAATCCCATGTTTGCTTTGTCAAACGATTGTTTATTTTAAAGGTTGTTCACATTGCCATTTTACCCATGTGGTTGAGGTTTTTCACAACAAATTTGATTTATTTCACCTTTTCTTCTATGCATCAATAATATTCAGAAAAACATATTTAAGTATCATATTTATCAGGCCGATTTTAATGGGGATAGGCTTTGCCCTCACCCTAGACAGTTAAAATGGCATGATACGTTAAAATATGGGCAATTTGATGTTTATAGCCACCGTTATATATTGGAAAAACGGTTGATATATTGCTCTCGATTTTTTTACAATAGGAAATGCAGGCACGTTATATTTCATTTTCATATGAGTACATTATTTATTTAAAGTTTTAAAATATAAAAAATGGCTCAAAATGTGTTGTATCCGGTGTTCAAAAGAACGAGTCGGGCTGACTAGTCGGACCGATTCGGATTAAATCGACCGATCAGTGGCTCGATTTTTATTGAAAAATGTAATTTGGATTAGAAAATCCCAAAAAAATGTAAAAAATGGTTTAAAATTGACATTATATTGTTTTTTATATTGTCATATAAAATAAGTAAAACAAAAAATATTATAGGCATAATTGAGTTTCAAAAAAATTTCTACTACATGCTTAATGATGGTTACTCAGCCATATCAATATAGAAATCGGGCTTGGGTTGGATTAGTAGCAGTGGCCATTTAGCATTGCTAGATCTCTAGTTTGATACCCACCCAAGAACAAATAAAATGGACCGACCATTGAACTACCCAAGAAAAACGAGAATGGATCGATCTATTTATTCAACCCAAAAAAAAGGGTGGTAAGGCAACTTCAAAGCAATGGTTGCACTTTTGTCGCATACTAGTAAAATCCTGAATGAAGATACCAACAATTGAATTGATAAAATAAATCTAATAAAATGATGGAAAATTGTTTCATGCGGGCAGTACCGCTATGCAGTCCATAAAGTGTAAAGCATCCATCTTTAAGATGGATGCAAGTAGGTGTTCCATCTAAAAATAATGGAAACTAACGGTTCAAATGTTTTTTTATTCGAATTATTATTTCTAGTTTTTTAAAGTTGTTTATTTATTCATATTCATGATCTCTATATTAGAGATTATGTCTTTAAAAATTAAGTGTTAAAATCCATCTTAAAAATAGATTTATTAAAAGGCCCGCATTTCTACATATGTGGGCTTGGTCGCATAAAAACCGGGTCCTAAACTGATTGACACAAGCAATTTGTATGCAAGACTCTCTGGCTTTGATATAAGAATGTCAAGAAATCGGTAAGCTAAAGGTATGTTGCAATGTTAAAGAAACTTTTTCTTTGACTTTGAGGGTACTTAAAGATATGCTTCCTAGTGATCCAATTTTACATTTAATGGTTAGAGGTAATTGTGACCATTACATTTAATGGTTAGTGGTAATTGTGACCATACTGTATAAAAAGTATAAGCTTTTATTGTGTATTTAAATAAGGAAAAAAATTATATAAGAGTGAGGCTCTAAATAATCAAATTAAGACATTCTTCAAAAATTCACTAGAAAAGGTTGTTTTGTTACCCAAAATTGCTCAAATCTATCATCTTGACTTCAAGATATATAAATATGAGAAAAACTGGATTTCTTGTCTCAGAAATAGTGCATCATGTATTGCATTTTTTGGACCGTTAATTTTTAAGTGTTGATAAATCAGCTTGATTTACATTATTTTTCAAACTTTAAATTTTATAATTAGATATAAAAATAAATTTTCAGGCCATTACTTTGATTGTTTAGGGCCTCAGCCTAATACAAACCACACCAAAATAGAAAAGGTTATTTTGATACCCAAAAATCTTCCTATTGTTTGTCTTGACCTCAAGATGTATGGATATGAGAAAAAATAGATTCCAAGGTTTGAAAATAGTCCATCTGGTACTGTAATTTTAGACTTTCAATTTTCAAGATTTTTCAAGTGGTCATAGATTTTTTCACCGTAATAGGACACAAATTGGACGATCTTTACAACAAATCACTGATTAGTGCTCGGTCGATTTGTGCCGATTGGTACGTTAAATCGGCTTATTAGTGCACTGTATAAAATTTTTATAATACATAACCTTTGGAATCGGGCCAACTCGGGATTGAGCAGTGATCGATCCCTATTTAGTCGGTCGATTTTTTTAAATTGGCCGATCACTAGTTGTATCTAGGGCTGGCAATCGGCGGCGCAGCCCTAACAAAGGAGCGCTTGGGCCACAAACTATGACTTGAGGGTGCCAGGGCTAATGCCGGCCCAACCTTATTTTTTTGTTCATTTGTTTTTGGCCCGGCCTTAGCCTTGTAGGACCGGGTCGGGCTGGGTTGGACTGGCCCAAGCCCAGCTTGTTCCACCCTTTGTTTTATCCAAATACCACCATTTACTTCATTAATGTTTATATATTATAGAACATAATTTTAGTTTATTTTTCCATTTTTAGAACTCTGTATATAGTGTTATACATTATTTTTTAGGGGATTAGTTGATCCCGCATTAATTTTTGTTGGAAAACTCGTCAAAATACACCAACTTTTTAATAATTTAATAGTTTGCTCTTTTTCAACTATTCCAACTCATCGTTATTTGCATTTTGATGAGCATTTTGATGGGTATTTTGAAAGTTTTCAATTTTTATAGTGAAATTTTCGAGGTGCGTCCTAATTTGATTGTTTAGAGCTTCACACTTATATAAACTTTTTACAATATTAAATAAGTGATCTCTTATGTGTATTTTGATAAATTTATGAAGGATTAATTTATGGGCCTACACATTTCATATGGTTTAAGATAAAAAAAGTATGAAACTATTTTATTGAAAATCCATCAATTTCTTAATTAATTAAAATCTGACATGAGCCCTATTTTTGTCTATCATGTACGTGTTGGTATGCGCCTCCCTTCCTAAATTCATCTTAGAAATGGATTTCCATTGTAGAGATTGATTTTGGATCCAAAAATTTAAGAGTCAATAATTTCGACCATTACTAAATCCAAGAAAATTAATTTTGACAGTTATAAATAATATTTTTTGAGTTTTTTTTTTTTACACGCCCATTCATTTCACTTCTTCACATCATGAGATTTTCACCATCTTTTTAAATACAAAAAGGTCGATCCACAGCTTATTTCCTTTTGCTTGATATCCTAAATCCATTAAAAACATATTTTTTTGTTGTCAACGCGTGAGCTAGAGGATCATACATTCACTTTTTTGTGCTCCCGCTGGAGTAGATTATACATACAACTGCTTTTTCTTATGGTTGAGTGAGGAACAACGTCACTTTTATTGCGATGTCTCATAAAGGCCTATGCTTTATGACAACAAAGTAAAGCCTCACCTCAAATCTAATCCTGACAACAGAAATAGGTTTCAAAATCAATTTTGAATAACAACAATAAATTTTGAAACTCAAAAAATAAGATTGATCTATAAATACTTATTTTTAGAGAGAAATGAACGGTCCAGATAATTTGTTATAATATACATTTTTTTAGAGTTTAAAATCCTTATTTTTTTTATAACCATAATGTTTAAGCCAAGATGATCATTGTAAAGGTTTTCCGATGCTTGA